CAGAGCAGTCCGGAGGAGAGCCCGGGCTCCCACTGGCCTCGCCTTTGGGGGTGCTGGCACCCGGCTGTACTGGGCAGACCGTGGTGAGTGTGGGCTGAACCAGGGCACCGCTGGGGGGTAGCGGAGGTGCAGGCCCTTGGTCTGCAGGGCACAGCCCAGTATGGCCCCGAGGGGCAGCCCGGAGTCCTCCATTTGACGTCCCATTTGATGTCCCTGCATCTGTGCCCTGCAGAGAGAGGCACCATCAGCAGTGTCGAGCTGGATGGATCCCACTTCCGGGTGGTACGGGAAGGGCTGCACAGCCTCTCGCTCTTCACCATTGGAGAAGGCTTTCTGCTGTGGAGCACGACCTCAACCAACGGTGAGTCTGTTTGCTGTGCTTTGTCTGGCTCCTCCTACGCAGGAGTCTCTGCCAGTCCCTGTGGGGTGCGGGCTGGGGGAAGCTACATCCCATCCTGGGCACCGTTGCCGGGAGGAGGTGAAGGAGTGCCGACCCCACGTGTTTCTAGGCTCCAGCAAGATCTGGCACAGCCGGCTGGAGCGGGCTGAGAGCTGGTGGTTCCCAATGGAGCAGGAGTTGGTAGCCATGAGGATTTACAGCCAGTTCTCACAGGAAGGTGGGTCTGGTGAGGCCCCAGCCTGGGGCATCTGAGGGGCTGAGCTGTGTCCCGTGGTGGCCATGCTAACCCGTGCTGTTTTGGCAGGCACCAACGGCTGTGCAAAGAGCAATGGAGGCTGTGCCCAGCTCTGCCTGCCCAACCCTGCAGGGCGGCTGTGCCGCTGCTCCCCTGGCTACCACCTGGTGCGTGGGGTGGCATGCACGCTGGCACTGCCCTGCCCGGCCCCGCTCCAGGCCTGCCCTGACCTCCAGAGCTGCATCTCTGAAGACCAGGTCTGCGATGGGCGCCCCGACTGCACTGATGGCTCTGATGAGTCTGACTGTGAGTGCCTGCCCAAAGCCAGGGTGTGCAGGGTTCCTGGCTGGGCACAGGTGGGCCTGCCCAGTCTCCCCCAGTTTGGGAAGGGGGCTCTCACCTGGGTCTCTGCTGATCTATGCCCATCCCTCCAGGCCCCTCTGTAGAGGTGGGGACACAGGTCCCTGCACTATCAGGAATGTCCCGTGTGGAAGAAGAAAAACCAGCCTTACCCACAGCTGCACTCAAACCTCAGCAGCCCGGCCCCAGCCTGCCTGCAGCCCCTGGCCCTCAGGAGCATGGAGAGCCCTTCCTGGTACCCCCCAGCACTGAGGAAGTGCTGGGGGCCGTGCCGTGCAGCAGCGAGACATGTAACCTGCGTGGGGTGCACTATCAGGAATGTCCCGTGTGGAAGAAGAAAAACCAGCCTTACCCACAGCTGCACTCAAACCTCAGCAGCCCGGCCCCAGCCTGCCTGCAGCCCCTGGCCCTCAGGAGCATGGAGAGCCCTTCCTGGTACCCCCCAGCACTGAGGAAGTGCTGGGGGCCGTGCCGTGCAGCAGCGAGACATGTAACCTGCGTGGGGACTGTGCCATCGAGGCTGGGAGAGTGACGTGCCACTGCGCCCTGGGCTATCGTGGTGACTACTGTGAGGAGGCAGAGGTGCAGCCCGTTGCAGGACCTATCGCCCTGGGAGTGGCCGTGCTCCTGCTGCTCGCTGCTGCTGCTGTGGGGGCCCTGACCTACATGCGGAGACGGGACAGGCGGAGGAGGTAAGCTAGGCCGGGTGAGGTACAACTGGGGATGGAGAAGTACAGGGTCTCCCTGTCCAGGGACAGCGTGGTGTCCTGGGGCACTCCTGGGCTATGTGGAAAGCTCCGATCACCCCAGCAGTCCATTACTGGGGGTTGTGGCAGGACCGTGGGATCTGCCCCAGCTCTAGGAGATGGCCATGCCATCTTCAATGTATGTTTTTTCCTCCTCAGGACATCAAGCACTGCCTCCACCCGGGTGCTGACCTTGTACCACCGTGAAAGTGACCCTGAGGAAGAGGATGATGATGAGGAAGAGCTTCCCCCCAAGAGTGATACCTTTGTGAATGAAGCTTATGATGGGAAAGAGGTAAGCAAGCCCTGGTAGGGACTCCCCTGCTACCCTGGAGTGCCCCAAGGCCCCCCAATATGTAGATCCCCTCCCCGGCCCAGCGCTGGCATGGGCACCCACTCTTGAAGCAAGCTCTGCCCTCCACCTGGGGGAGAGGGACAAGACTTGGGGGTGCCTGGAGTCTGGCTGGTACAGGGGCTGTCCCGCTCTGCCCATGGCTGGAGTCCCTGTGCCAAGGTGTGGGTGGGCCCAGGGAGGCTGGCTCAGACTCATCCCTGATGCACCCATCCGTGATCTCTGCAGGAGCTGCCAGCCCCGCTGCAGAAGGGAACATCTCGCCCTGACACGGTATTTTCATAAAGGAGTGTTGTGCAGCATCCCTGGTGCCATTGTGGTTTGTGTGGGGGCCAGGGAGGGAAGGTTGGTTTGCTCTTCCCAAATCTCTAAGTTCTAGGGAACTTACAGTCCAGACCAAAAAGCTTTGGGAGGTTTTTCAGGAAGTCTCCAGCCCCACACACTCTCTGAGCCACCTGAATCCGATCTCCTGCTGCAGGGTGCATCCTGTACCATCCCTTAACCACGCTTAGGGCATCTCCATCCACTGTCCCTCTGCAGCAAGGCTTAGCTTGCTGACCAGGGTGCTTTGGGCTCACCTGGGGTAGAAATCTGGCCAAATAGCTCTGCAAGGAAGCTGGCTCAGCTCTTGCCTAATTATGCAGGGTGCCGAGCAGGATTTTACAGTGCAGTTCTGACCTCCCAGTGTCCCTTACAAACCAGTGAGACCAGTTTTACTGCCTCCCACCAAGCTAATGATGAAAGGGGAAATAATTCGCTATTTTTTTTCCCCTGTGATCTCTTTTCCCCCCCACCCCCACCCTGAAGTAGCTGTGCTCAAGGAAGGAGAAACCTCTTCCAGGGCTGATTTTGAC